CCCCTCCTAGAGCTTATAGAACCAGCAGAGGGTATCTGACAGAGGCTGGGATTGCCCTTCCAGGCTGCTCTGCCCTGTGGTCATGCAGCCTGGCAAGAATGGTAAGAACGTGGAACATTTTGATGAGGGCCCTATACAAAATCTAGGTACGTCAGTTGGTCTGAAAGCCACATTCTCAATATCTAAACATTCAGAAGGAAAACTGTTCTCCATCTGTGAAAGGGGAACCAAGAGTGTCAACACTTCCAGGCCACTGCTTCATTCCTTCTCGGGGCAGCCAGGCAAAATCAGGTCAAATCCATGAGCCCATCATGGTGCTTCTGCGGCATGCTGCAGTCACAGAAGGCAAAAACAACTCAGAAAGCAATAGGGCTGAAAATTCTTGAAGTACTTGAAATTCAGGGAAAAGCAACACAACAGGAGAAGACAATGCTTCACACAGTAACAGACACTCTGATAGTGTAAGACTAGGAGTATACTGTGGAAATGGAGCACTGAAGTCAGCACCCAGTACCATTAAGACTAATAGGACTATCTAAGGGCTGGAATGCCTGCATAGGAGCTTGAACCCCTTTTACAAGCACATGGATGGGCCAGGGGCAGAGCGAGATCCCTTCAGAAGCATTGGGACTTGGGATAAATAGCATGGGTTGATGCCTTTGACTTCAGAAGGTGTGAAAAAGAAGGATCTTTCACTACAGTTGTAAGTGCAACTGCTCTACTTATCTGCAGTTTCACGAGATTTCACTTGTTTTCTAGGAAGGAGCTCCAAGCACAGAACTTCTAGTTTCACTCACAAAGATTTTAAGTTTCCTCTCTCCTCTTTGCACCAAGTGTGGAACTTTGCCTGCAAAGTCAGTGACCTGGAAATGCTTTGTTGTTCAGAAGATGCCCTGCAAGCACTCAAACAACACAAAGAGGTTTCTTCACAGTTGCTGCTATGGCCAACTATTTTCAAACCATATCCCAGATATCAAATTAACACCCATCTAATCAACACCTGACCCAAGAGGTACCCCCCGGATCTCCTTCACCTATCCCATTTTCCTTGTAAGTAATTTAACTTTTCTAAAATCTATGCACTTAATCATCTACTGTGAACACCGGAACAAGCCTCATACCCTAGACAAGAAATCAGATACAGATAAGAAAAAACATCCTCTCCTCTAAAAAAGACCTGCATCAAACTTACCACCTGCTCCAGGGATGTTTATTCCGAAGGGCTCTGTTTTGCCCTTCCTTCTGTCACAGTGTGAGACATAGATCTATTTTTGGCAGGCATATTGGCGTCAGCTGAACATCGTATCTGGAAGTGAACAGTGCAAAGAAGAACCTCAGGTGCTCCTGACCATGAGAGGTGCAAACTTTTCAAAAGACTGCATATTTCAGCAGCACAGAGTTTACTTGCCACGTCTTCTGTGAGATGCCAGCCAACACTTGTAGATGTCAGTCATGTAGTATTCCTGCTGCAGTCACAAACGTAGTATTTCTGTTGCATCCAGCTCTGCCTATGTCTCTCTTTCAAATCAAAGAATTTCATGTTCTCCTTTGCTGTTATCTATCTTCATGCTCTTTCAGCAACCACCTATTTTGTCATTACTTGCATCTCATTTCCTGGAAGGCTGAAGAGAAACGCATCCTACAATCCCTTTTCTTGCTGCATCAGAAGTTTCTGATGAGAAAGCTGAGAAGCTGAAGGCAGTGGTTGCTTCAGCCCAGAGAAGCTAAAGCAATAGCTGATATATATATGTGCGTGTATAAATATAAGAAACCAGGTGTTTTTAGAGCTAATTCACAGCACAGACCGATTCATCACCAAACCCAATCCAGCAAACAAAGGTGTTCAGATGCTTTGACTTTGATTTCTCTACCTCTCCTTCTGTGAGATTATTTTTCTTAAAATTCCAGTTAAATTACTATGTGCAGCATCTCACTTAATGCAGTGGAACATCATAATGGCAGGCAAGAATTATAAGTGACATTTGGTTCACAGTGAATTCCTTCCCCACTGAACCTCTTTAGCAATAGCTGCCTACATTCATCAATATGAATGTCCTTGTAGCTGCAACAGATCTGTGGTGGTTAAGCAATGCAAGCTGGCAGGGACAGGCTAATTATCAAGAGAACATTTATTTTTTCCAGCTATATCTATTACTGTAGCAGTTGATATTGTCCTCCTCCATAACCTTTGCCTGCAGGATGCTACTCTGTAGATTCTGACAGAGCAGCACCTGCTGGGAGGAGACATTTACTACCACAGAACTGACAGGCTCCCTTCACCTGCCAGATCTCTTCTCAATTCTATTTTTTCCCCCTAGTTCTATAAACTTATGTAGCTGGGAGAGCAGCTGAAGATCTGCTCCAATGTTTTGTGCACTTACCAGCACACATGCAATTACAGCACCCTCACCACAAGATCAGTTAGGGAAAATTATCAAGCAGATAATTGTTGGGGGTTGGACTCGATGATCTCTGGAGGTCCCTTCCAACCCCTACAATTCTGTGAAATCTGTGAAACCATCAGGAAGCTGTATACATCAGTCTCACGATGACTCAAGGACGGCAACCTAAGCCCAGACAATCCCAGCATAAACCTACCTGCACAGAGATTGCACCAAACCCAAGCATCTTGGCCATAGTTTGCAGCCAGCTGGGTTTCTTCCTGCTCTGATTGAAATCAACAGCCCAATTTTTATTACCTGCTGGCAATACAGAGTACAGCAACCGCATCAATCCCCAGGAATAGCAGCCCCATATGAAACTGCAGTGTAGAATCTGACATGCGTGAAAAAAATATCTGTGCTAGAGATCCGGCCAGTGTGAAAAGGGAACGGTCAAGAGACCTCAGCAGCTGGACCGGCAGGGTAGGCCAGTCCATCTCCAAAAAGAAATGCTGAAGACCAAATGCTAAAATCCATACAAGTGCTGTGCCTGTTTTGTAATATAACAGAATCACAGAATTGTAGGGATTTAACAGACTTCTAGAGATCATTCAGTCCAGCTCCCTTGCCAAAGCAGGCTCTCTAGACTGCACAGGTAGGCACCCATGCAGGTCTGAATATCTCCAGAGAAGGAGACTCCACCACCTCTCTGAGTCGCCTGTTCCAGCGCTCACAATGAGCTGCCAAGGCAGAGCTTAGTACAGCTTAGAGCGAGAGTTACCAGGAATTTTGTTTTTCAGAACTGTATAATCAAAGAATATTAGGATGCTATAATCACAAAATAAACAAGAGAGTTAGGCAAAGCAGACTATGGTAACAAAAAGAGAATAGATAGAAGGCTTACCACTATCCTGGGCTCACTCACAAAACACCAGCAGAGCAGATCTCCAGAAGAGATCCTTCCCCACTGGCAGCCAGCTCTTCAATAGGTCTAGGAGAAGTGGAACCAGGCTCCACCCCTTCCAGCAGCACAGGTGAATTGCCTTCACCTGTGCTCCTGTGGCTGACTCATGGCTCGCCTCAGGTGATCAGTCTGAGGTTCAGGCTGTGACTCAGCAGTTCCAAACACAGAACATTCTGAGCAGGTGGTAGAAACCAATACTAGCTCTGGTGAATAGCAGGATAGAGAGAGCCTAGTATACATTGTCCTCCTGTCCCCCTTTGAAAAATGAAAAGCAACAGGTGAGTGATAAACCATATATAAAGTGTACTTTAGCAAGCACGCCAAGTCGATTGTGAGCCTGAGACACTCTGAGAGATCTTGTATGTCAAAGAAAGGGTATTATATGGTATGGATTTCACTGATTAAGCATGCAATTTCTCCCTTGCCATGAGAGAGATGCACACCCACTACTGCAATAATGAAAACTGCCACTTCACGAAGATCTTTGCCTGATTGGAAACGATCGATTTTGAGTGTTTCTTACAAAAGCAACCAGAGTCTCATTTGGAGCACGCGGCAAAGGGGAGGGATGCATTCATCTCACCCTGTGTCTTGAAGAAACTGAGATGTTAATCGAGAAAATGAGTAATGCAAAACATTTGGCTTTCAGCAGACTTGGAAATACATACAGCAGGTTCCAGCACAGGTTTGTAAAAAATTAATTAGCAGTGAGTGGGAAAGGGACTGATGGGTGTTATTCTCTGTGCAGCAGTTTTGTTTAACTTACTAACAGTGATTAAACTATAAAATCCCAGTGAAACACCTCCTAAAATTAAGTGTTCCTCCAGAAATGGAAACAGTCACTTCACAGCAGTAACGATCAGGTATTCTGAACTCAAATGTAGGTGGGCTCCTAACTTTACAATCAGGTGTCTGGCACAATGGTCAGTCTCCCCTAAACGTTTAGTTTGCTTTATTATCATTTAAAATTCAATGGGATTTAGGAGTTTTATTCAGCTGAGTTCTGCTCTGCTTCTTTAAAGCACCTAAAACATGAAAATCTGTCATAAAACAATTTTTTTCCAAATTTTTATAAAACTTAATGATAAAGAAAACAAAACTCAGTTTTTCCAGCAAGCCCTTTGAGAAAACTGTGAAGCAATGCAAAAGCTGCAGAAGTAGTGGGCCTGGTAACATTGGTAAGAACTGCTACATAACTATCTTTGCTCTCTTAAGAGTGTCTATTAAAGCCCGAGACTTCATTCAAGAACAGAATATTTATAATACTAATTGCAGCTTTAATGACTGATAACTTTAAAGATTAAAATAGGGGGGTTGGAACTAGATGATTGCTAGGGACCGCTCTAAGCTAAGCTGTTCTATGGTTACCTGTCCAGAGAGAAATCAGGAACTCTGATTTCCTGAATGACCACTTCAAAGGACTCCCACATGCTGAGCAGAGGGGCCTGAACTGCAGCCCCACATGACAGCAGCACCCTCACACCAAACTTCAGCAGTCCAGTCTCCTTCATAAATTTGTTTTCCTTGGGATTCACTCCTGGCTTCCATAAGCACAAAGCAAAGCAGAACTAGACTTGCCAAATCCATAGGGATGCATCACACTCACAGCTCTGTAAATTTCCCAGATGGCAATGATGAAAAAGAACTGCTGGAAATGAGTCCTTCAAGTCACCTCTTAATGTCATCTGGTAAGTGACAGAGTCATCACAATCCAAGCTGGGAAACCAGTGTTAGGCCAGTTTTCACTGCAGCCAGTGGTAATTTTGCCAACTAAAACCAGAGCAAGAAAGTTCTGGGTATAAGCAGCAGCAGATTGTGTTAGAAGGAGTAAGTCTTCGCTGCAGACTGCTAGTGCCAGCTGATCCTTAACTGGACAGAAAGCACTCCCATGGTTCAAAACTCACACAGAACTTTTTTTTTACTTCATCCAGGAACACACTAAGAAAGTAATCTCAAGGTCTTTTGCAGTGTCAATAAAGACAACAGGTTGTACTAAAGCATCAAAGATTGGCTTCCTCTCTGTAAAAGCTCCAGGCTCGTATTTCATGACAGCAGAAATCAGCAGAGGCTACTGGGCAGGGAGAGCCATACTACAGAATCAACCAAACAAACCACAGTCTTAGCCATGCTGAGATGTGATCTCTGCTTTTCTTAGGTTCTCTGCATCTCACAGCAGGCAAACACCAGGGCAGCAGGCATCAACTCCACAGTTTCTTTATGAACATGATTCTATGAACACATCTGCAGACTTCCTGCTCAAGCAGCTATTTCAGGTTGTTCTTAAAACAGCTCACATATATCAGCAGAAAACCCATTCTGCTTAGCTAGTACATCTGAGGCGTTAGAAACATCACTAAGGTGATAATGCTTTGCTTTCTCTTTTTTCCCCTCCTGTAAAAAAATAACCTGTTCAGAAGCTGTAGTTCCTTTGATTCACGTGTGCATGTTTTTCCTGTTGAAGAAACTCACCCATGCTGTAATAATAACCCGTGGGATCATATGTCTGTTGGTAGGCACACCAACTTTCAGCTACCATCTTGGAGACAAAGGCTGTACAGTATCAGTCAGGTACAGAACAAAATTTTAATTTACTTCCTTAAGTCTGGGGCATACCATGCTGAGCTTGTTCAATCATCTGGTATATTCAAAAGCCCATGGACATACTTCCATGCCTATGCAGGGGCTGAATTTGGACTGCAGATGCTTTTTAGTTGGTGCTACCCTGCAGAAATCAGGTGGGCAAGATCTGCTCCTTATGAACCCTCTTCCATTGAATGTGGGCTGTCAAAGGTGGTACTAAGAGAGACAGTATCTTTCCAAGAAAGTCACTGGTGACATAATCAATCCAGCATTTTGATCACTTCTCATGCAGCACATCTGGGCTACATTCTATCTGTGTTTGTTTGAAGAGGAATTGCAGGACGTCATCTGATAGCCCAGGTGTTCTCCTTCTGTCCTCTACCATGACTTCTCCCTCAGCAGGCTTGGAAAAACATGCAGTAGTGGGGTGGTTTGGAAAGATCTCACGTCCGTCTCTGTTCAAGACCAGCTGGGCCATCTGCAGGCAACGCAATGCATATTTGGTACCATCCCGGTCTGCTAGCTCTGAAATCTTCTTCAAAAGATGTTGTGATGCAGCCTCATAGGTGGGATCCATGCTGTCTGGCTGTTTCTTGCAGTATGTTTTGTAAAAGCTATCGAGAGATTTCCTGATGCTTGCATCTTCCATACTATTGTGTTCATGCATACTTGAGAAAGCAGCATCATTAGGTTCAGTGTGCTCACACATCCTGGCTTCTGGATAACATCTCACATTTGCTTTCTCAGAGCCTCCAGCAGAAAAGTCTGCAGGAACTGTAGAGGGTAGATTGCTGTCTCCTGCAAGAACAAGATCAATGAAACTCATTAGTCACCACGTCACCCCTGTGGCAAAATCTTTTTTTTCTCCTCCCTCAACGCAGTCTGGCAAACAGGCTCTGTACTGGAGCGAGCAAAGTACATGGCTGCATGCTAGAAGGGCTTGCTGCATAGACTGCTAATTATGAATCTTGTATTGGGGGATCTCATAAATGTCCCAGTTTCATCTCTCTGCAGTCACTGGATGGTACGCGCCTCTACGTTCCTCTCAAAGAGGTTGAAATTGGGACCTGCTGCTGTTAGAGACAACTATTGGCCTACATGAAAGTCAAGTTTGCAGCTAGAATACTTTTGTCTTTCTTTTTTTTCTTTCTTCTGTTCTCTTTTTAATCCCTTCCTTTTCATAGTTCTTTGCTCCATTTTTGAGCCTACAGCCTCCAAGCCAACACTGTAATGGTGACCACGCAGAGTTTGGGAAGGAGATCAATAAAGGAAGACCTTGTGTCTTCCCCTGAAATTTCACATTCATAGCCCAGCTACACTAGTCACTCTTCCCACATTCTGAAGTTCTCCCAGTGAAAGCCAAGGACTCACTCTTGTTTAGCTCTTCTCCTCTTCCTTTGCTGACCCACATTTCTAAATAACAGTCAGAGCTCTGGTTCTCTTTTGCCCCAGTGCAATGCAGGGGGAGATACCAATCATAATTAATACACCAGCAGCACAAAGACACTTGGCAGTGGCATGACCAGAATGATCAGAAGCCACATTCAGCTTCTAGTGTAACAGGCCTCCCTAAAGGGATATGGATTTCAGCTCTGCTACCTAGGCAGTCTCTCTAACCACAACCTCATCCTCGAGCCTGCCTCACCAGCCTGTTTGCCAAGCACTTGAGTCATCAACAGGAAAATTTTACAGAGGCTGCATATCCATCATCTGCAGGTTTCATAAGCAAGATGCAGAGGATCAGCACACTGCTTGATCTTCCCTAACTGTGAAATACGAAGCAGAGCGCAGCCCTTCATTTCATTAAGAGACGCAAGTCAAAGGAAATCTCAGTGCTATGGAAGAAGGCTGCTCCTTACCTCACATATCATCTTGTATACAAAGAGCTTCCCTCCCTTTCTGAGTGGTCAGATTAATTAAAATGAAATTAAGATGTCTGTGCACCCATACTGTACGTTGCTGCTTTCTCCCTCCCCCTACTTTATTTGATCTTTCTTTTCACTTTGTCTGATTCTGCTGTTTTAAGAACCTCTCTTGCAATATTATTGCCAGTGCAGTACAAAGACAAGTTTAGTGGCCTCCTTTTAACATGAATATATGCCATCAGAGTAGCAAATCAGAGATAATCAAAGAGTACAGGTCTGTTTTGCCTCAATCTCTCAGCCTTGATTGCCTAAGTTAAGTTAGGACTGAAAACTCATGCATCAAGTTTCACTTATACTCAGGCTCCAGTTGCAATTGCAAACTACTGTGCCATGCTGTCTTCTTGCTACTTCTTATGCTCAACTTGCTCTTATATTTTGTAAAATAGCAGTAGCTGCCTCCAGCTACATATCTCAATCCTACTGCACGATCCAGGGAAAGTGAAATCCTGTTGGCTTCATGGTATTGAGGAAGATCTTTGCAATTCTGTTCTGGCTTTCTCTGTAATTATAAATGAGCAGGAGCAATATTTAGCTACTGTCCTCTAGTGAAGCACAGTCCATACAATCATCAAAGAAGTGAGGACTATATGTTTCAGGGGCGTACTCTGGGATTTGATTAGTCAGAAAATAATGAATTATATTATTAGGAATAAAGTTTTCTTTCATTTACTGATTCAAATCTACATAGGTATGTTTTCCCACAGTAGGCCCTATTCTCAGTAAATTACACTTCCAGTGAAGTCTTCTTAAAGCAAGACACGAAAACACAGATGTAGAATTTACCAATCTAAAATCCATAAAGTTGCATCTTGCCTGAGCTCTCCTGACAATTTCCTGGTACCAACTCAAACTACGTTCAGAGACTGATCGTTATGGACATTTCCCCCACCTAGAAGAGATTGGTCAGGGAAGAGTCCCTCCTCAGCACACCTTGAAGAGCTGACGCTGCTGTTCCAACACACAAATGTCCTGAAATATTTATGAACCATGGGGCACAATACCAGTAGCTGGATGCCTGCTGGGTCCAGACAGAGCTTCTCAGCTAGGACACACGTACAGCACACAAGAGTGCCCCACTGCACAAGACAAAGGCAGCATTCTACTGATCAATCCTCCATACTTCTGCATCCACTAAGAAAGCTGGGATTTTCTGATGACATTCAGCAGCATTGCTGCAAAGCTTATACGTCTCTGCTCATCCTTCCATAGCAAACTTAACACATCTTTGTGTTGGCTTGGCCCAATATCTGCAAGTAGTCAACAGAGTTTCATCGCGAGAGAATATGCCTCAAATAATTAACAATTTTTAATCACTGGTAGTATCAAAAAGGTGTTAAAAGGAGATGGAGAAGTAAATAAACAAACAGGTCATTACTCATGTCTTGATTTCATTTTCACATGATGGATAATCATCAGGAAGAATGTATATTATTTCATTTGTGCCCTCACTCCACACGAATTGAAGATCAGCACTTGCAGCTTATTAGCATGAGGCCCGGGGGCTGATAAAAGGATATTCTTTGTGTTTATAGACCTGCTGATGAAAATTTAAAGTCTCCATCTGGTACAAGCACATAACCTTACCGCCAGAAGCACACAGCCAAATCCTGCTTTGGACTTGGACCATTTCCAAGGATACAACAGCTCTGCAATATTATTATTTGCACTTCCACAAAAACGGCTCATGCAGCTGTTTGTCTGTGTTCTAGCACATTTATAAAATAAGACATCCCTTAAACAGCAGAGCTCCCACACTGCTGGCTTCATAGTGAAGATTTCCCCACTGAGGTGGGCAGCAATCCCTGCAGGCACTTGGGGCTTCTCAGAGCTGGTGCTGCCATGATGCCTGCCTCGATCCCTTTGAGGGCCTTAGCTAGACAGAAGCAGCTGTTTATTCCTGAGTTATGCCTGCAGTTGGATTTGTCCATGCCTCCTGCCCAATCCCAGATTATCCACTGTGCACACGTGGGCTCCTTTCCAGCCCAGTGCACAAAGACCCATCCTATTGTCAGGCCTGGAAGATACAGGCTGTAGATCTGAGTAGGTGAGAGCCAAACTGGAACGTTTGTCACAGAATTTTACATAAATGCTATGAAAATGGCAATTATATCACTTGTTTTAGGGCAGGAACTGTTTATCCCATGGCTTAGGAATGACTCACTTCTGGCAGCTGTATGCAGAATGGAGCCCAAGCCCACCAAAAGCAAACCAAACCCATACCCACCCTTAAAGACGCTCTGATACTCTCAGGTGTTACTGCAGGAGTCATGTTCAACAAAGACGGAAAGTCCCATCTCCAAATGCAGAGGGCTGCTATGCTACTGGGGCTGGGTTTGTGTTGTTTTTCCTCCTGAAGCTCAAGCCCTTGATCTTTTAGCAATATGACTGGTCAAACAGAATGGATAACTTGAATCAAGGGCCGTTCCTCTTCTTATTGCCTCTGTTGTACCACCCTAAATAAGTATCAAGAAAACTAGAGGATTAGGAAGTGTGAATCATTTATTTGAACAGAACTAAGCTAATGACACAAATCTCCCTTACGTTCACAACGGTGACTGAAATTCAACTAGACATCAGTTAGGTGATGCTAGAGCACATCTCTACATTGTAAAGTCATCAATGGGACTGCAAACCACAGAGACAGGTTACTCGGGCATTCAACTATGCAATGGTACACTGAGAAAAAGTCTGCTTCCCACTACAGCCATCCTGTGTGCTCTGAAGGCCAGAAAAGACCAGGAGAATCAGCTCAATTGAGCAAATGTCCTCGAGCAACAATTACCACAGAACTGAGCAATGCGACAGTAGAAAGGAAAAACACAAAAGAGAGCTGTATAGAGATAAAATCTTTCATTGGGTGGGACTAATTCAGCAGTCATCACTACTTTGCCTGTTCTGCCTGGGAGCACATGGGGCTGAGCATAACTGAAATACAGCTTTTTTCCAGAGCAGCTGAAAAGCAGAAGAAGGAGACGTGTCCTAGGTGGGAAGACAAATTCCAGCTGGACTCCCACGTCAGAGCTCAAAATGCTGCCTGGCCTGATGCATCACTATGATTTGATGCCAATTTGAAGACCTGCAAGAGACCTCAGATCCTGCCTCTTGGCTCCATGCAGCAGAAAATTAACTGACGCTCCCAAACTTTTCCTCAGAAAGGAAGACCTTCCTGCCCTCCTAAGACAATCACCAAACCTGGACATACGTGCCATGCCAGAGAGCTGGTACAGCCCTCTTATCACTTCTTGCCTCTCCATCAGACATGGGCATACGCATGGGAAAGCTCAGGCAGAGGCAACACAGCTTGGGCTTGAACAGAGCTCCCACATGGCAGCAAACCTGTGCCAAACCACATAGCGTGGGGGATGCAGCTATCAGCACAGGCAGCAAGAACAGTTCTCACCTTGCTGCAGAACTACCTACGAGACCATGCACCTTAAAAATACATGTGGTGAGCATTTGAGACAGCTCATGGAAAAAACACTTTTTCTCCTATCCCCCAACCCCAGTCAGGTTGATTTCCAGTGGAAGTGAGGTAATGCAATTCCTTTCTGTTCTAAGAAGAAAGAAAAAAAAAAAAATAGGGAGAATTTAGTAGATCACATTATACCTCAGCCTCACATAGCATCTTGGCTTGCTGGTAATCCCATGTGAGAGCACTTAGCTGGGCAGCTAGACTTTTTGGTACCAAATCCTATTGTCCTGACTTGTATTAATAAAATCTCTACTGATTAAAAACTACTGTTAAAAACCCACATGTGAACTGCCGATTGCATCCCTTTACATTGAACACAATAGGCAATAGGCACAAACTGGAACACAAGAAGTTCCACATGAACATGAGGAAAAAAACCTTCACTTTGAGAGTGACAGAGC